GCCAAGCGAGAGTGGGGGTGATAGGGTCACAGAGCCTGGTGAGGACATGAGCTGCAGAGTTCTGGACGATGTGCAGCTTGTGCAGGGAAGAGTTGGGTCGGCCGACATGTAGGAAGTTGGTGTAGTTAAGCCTAGATGCAATAGATGCGTGGATGAGGATTTAAGTGGCCTGAGGGGGAGAGGCAGTGTTGGAGAGGTGGGAGGCAGAGCAGGTCATGGCATGGATGTGGGATAGAAAGGACATTTGAGGGTCAAACAAGACACCAAGGTTCCGGACTGGCTCAGTGAAGTGGAGTGTGTATCCTTGGATGGTGAAGCTGTCAGTGCCTGAGGTGTGGAGGCACTGACAGAAGCCAATCAGATGAGCCTTGGTCTTGTTCAACTGGAGAAAATTAGGTCTCATCCAGGACTTGACGTCTGACAGTGTCCTGGAGTCGAGGGTGGAGGCAGAGAGATAGAGTTGGGTGTCATCTGCATACATGTGGAAGTTGACCCTATGTCGCAGATGATTTCACCAAGAGGGAACACGTATATTGAAGATGAGAGGACCAAGGGCAGAGCCCAAAGGAACGCTGCACAAGACGGTGCGGGGGCTGGGGGGGAAAACATTCATGGAGAATTCATGGAGGGTAAGCTGTTACCGACATTTTAATCTGTTGAGAAGATCTAAGATTTCCAATGATATTTATATTGGAGAATGAAATTCTACGTAGGGTTGTATATGCAATGGGTCATAATGGCATATTGGATCCAACTAGGCTTTTTTATATTACAGAGCTATTATATAACGTGGGGAGTAAAAGTGATTTATTAAAGATGTTATCAGCAGTGCACATACAATGAGATATGACTGTGTAACTTGCCTGATTGGAGTCACAGAATATTGCATTATACAAAGTCCTGGAAATCCCAAATCACAAGAACAAGAACATCTACACTTGGTTTACAGGTCAATTTCGGTCACACTTCTCCCTCCATTCCCTCCTCAAGCCCCTGCAGTCTGGGACGTCCTCCCGACGTGAAAGGCGCTCAATAAATGGAATCTTGTTGTTGTTGTTGTTGTTGTCTGGTTTTCGTCCTCCCCACAGCACAGAGACAGTGCTTGTCAAAGGCACAAATGACCAGGATTCCCTCTGCCTTCTCGTCCTCCTGGATCTCTCTGCCAAGTTCGTCAGTTGACCAAACCGTCCTCCTCCACCGTCTCTCTACCTTAGTGAGACGGCATTCACATGGTTTGAGTCTTACCTACCGAACCGTGTCCACTTCATCTCGGTAAATGGCTTCTCCTGCCGCCACCCGGTCACCTGTGGCATTCCCCATGCCTCCATCCTATATGCTCCCTCTGTGGGATGTCATCTGCAGACATGGTAAGAACTTCCACATGTTTGTGGATGACACACAAATCTACTTTGCCTCCTTTAGTATCCCCTATTTTGAAACCAGAATAACAGTATAGTTACGGATTGTAACTGGCTGTGCAATTAAATGGAGCAGATTACCCTGCTCCATTTCCATAGCCAACATGAGAAGCAATCTGATGAATGGTCCAATTCACAATCTTGTGTTCTATGAATACAGTATATAACTCTTTTGTTGGTTTTTACTGATTATAACCCCTCTATACTATCTTTAGATGCTAACTTTGGATAACTCAAACTAGGGTGCCCTCAGTTAGTCTTTTGAGGGATGAACTGATGCTCTGCTAGATCAGTTTGTGATCATATTATTTTGTTAAAATGACTTGGATCTTCATCAGAATATGATATAACAATCCTTGAATTTGGTATAGTGCCTTTCACGTCCCAAGAACGTCTCAAAGTGTATACTGTATACTGTAAAGCATAGTGACTGTGTGCATGTAGGCGAAAGCGGCAGCCCATTTGGCCCCAGCAGTGACCCACAAAGAACAGTAAATGACTAATTTTATTTGGAGGATTATTAGGCAGGATACTGGGAGAATCTCTCTTTGTGTACTGAAGTTATGTATAGGCAAATGATTCATCAGGTCAGATATAGACCTATAATACTAAAGATAAATTAGGTTGTTAATGCAAACTACTCACTGCAAAGTGATAATAACAGAGGCTGAGAATACTAGGCTTCACTGTAAAATAGTTAGCAATGAATTATGAGTGAACGAGAGATGCAGTATCTGGTAATTCAGTTTAACATTATGAGTCATCAATATCTGGAATAACCAAGTCAGCAAACATTAAGTGATCTCTCTCTCTCTGTTTATCCTTTGCAATCTCTCTCCTTTTGCTGTTGGTGGGTTTCATGTTGAACTACCTCAACTGACAGACAATCTGGAGTGCTTCACTATAATATTTCTGGTAAAGAATCTGTGCCTCAATTATTTATTTTTAGTTAACCACATATCGGAAACATGCAGAAACCCATCACCGTACTTAAGAGTAGCTAAACCACAGTGAGAGTCTGAAATATGCATGCAACCCACGTGTGCAAATTTCAGGTTCTGGAATGGAATAAAATGCTTTCTCCCCAGAGGGACGCACCTTGCTTTCCTAATTGGTGTTAGACAGACGTTTGCAAGCAAAGCTTGGGGACCCCAGCATGTGTGTTAGGCTACTTCCGGAGTTTAATCAGCTGTATCTGCATAGTCCTGTTTTGTTCTGGCTATCAGGGAATTTATCTATCTGGGGTGATTATAGATTTCATATTATGAGTTGTTAGCACTATTGATGAGTTCCTTCACTTGCTGTTCCTATACACTGCAGAAAGTGTTTCTGTAGTTCTGTAATTCATGTTCTGTGGCACTTGAAGCAATCCAAATAAATAGTGAAGTGTTTTAAATTGGTGGCATTTGGCTAAATATAGAGCATGGATTTGAAAAACGTTTTGTCTGGCATTTTGCACTCTGACATGAATTATGGCTCATTTTATGCTGTGAATTTACACCTGCTGTGTGCAATTGGCTGCTGCTTTTCGCCCACAAAATATACAGTCAATTCACTTAACAGTATATTCTGTGAAGTACTTTGAGGCATATCGAAGATGTGATAAGGCACTATATCAAGTTCAAGGGTTATTATTATTATAATACAGAGCTGGATTTACAGAGCAACGTGTATCATTTATTTCACGGGAAGATCTTTTGAGGCCATATAAATGCAAGTTGTTGTTATTATTGAGGCTGACTTTATGCATCAACTGGTGCTGCATACAAATACAGCTCGCTGAAGTGAAAGGTTAACATTTTGCCACCAATTCCATATTGGGTTTTCATTAACAAATCTTTTAAACAGGCAATCATGTTTAGCAAGAAGCTTGTTAATACATGATCTCCAAGTAGAATGAGACAGAGTCTGGGCTAATATACATTTAAGGGAATATGGTGCAAAATCATGCACAATTACAATTAATAATTACAAGGTACAATTAGATTGATCAGTTAAACAATATCAACCTGCAGTCAAGATACAAAGGTATATATTTTAACTTAAGGTCCATTGCACATTAGCTGAAGCTATGTACGTGCACGATCTTGCAGCATTAAAAGCAGTACCACTAGTTGGATACTTTTAACATTTCCGGTTAAAATCCCTCCTACTCCTGCCCACCCCTCCTAATCCCAATCACCAGCTCGGGTACGGTTCCCTGACTGTCCAGCGCCTTGGGACGTCCTCCTGACGTGAAAGGCGCTGTACAAATGTAATTTGTTGTTGTTGTTACATTGCGTAACATGGGAGATCAACAACCTTTCTAAATTTGATAAAATAAGTTGTCTAAATATATCTGGGGTGGGTGGAGAAATTGTCACCCAGCAAACGGCATAACAATTTGCCTTTATTTAGCAACCTTTACGCAAGCTAGCATCTCTAAGCATAAATAAACTAAGGAAAACGTAGGAAACGGATTTTGTGCCTTATTCTGTTTCCAACCTCCCTCCCTTGTTCTTGGCTGTAGCCTGCCGGAGGCAATACAGGGAGTGGGGAAATGATGGCATCAGTTACTGCTACCAGGTACAATTGGAGATAATGCTCAGAGGAAACTCCAGGTTTGAAAACCATATTTGAATGCAAGCGAATTACATCAATAATATACATATGGGATACTTTGGCTGATTAGAGTACCTTACATATGTCACAGGATTCCTCCAGGAAACTCTCTGACCCCTCAAATTTGTAACCAATCAATAAAAAGCAGTGTGAAGCACTAAGTAGTCCCATATTATAATCCTTGAATTTGATAGCAGCTTTCACGTCTTCTAGGCGTCTCAAGAAGCCAATTGCGCCAATTGCCAAGAAGCCAATTGCGCACAGCAGTGTCCCATAAACAGTGGTGGATTGAAGTGACCAATTTATTATTGGGTTTTTTTCTTGAGGGATTATTATCAGGCATGTGGAGTAAGGAAACTTGCCCAAGGTTTCGCCCTGTCGGGAATCGAACCCAGGTCTCTCGCTTGTGAGGTGAGTGCTCTAACCACTGAGCTTCAGGACTCCACATTGAGTCGTTAATGATGCCACTAGCGTATATAGTAAAAGAAATCCTCTGGGAAGAAACTGACAGTTCATCTCCAAGGAGACACCCTCCAGGAGAATAATCACTTGTTGGTCATTTGACATCCAACAAGTGCGACAGTTTAGTGGATGGCAGATACCAGGAACTCCCTGTGAGCTTCTTGATGGGCAATACAGCTCAGCATGAAATGTGTAAAAGTACTGCCACCATCTTCCTGCATACAGCTTGGACATACATCCTTTCCCACTGAGCGATAGTTCCACCAGGTGCAAGTGTGGAGTTTGAGCAGGTCCAGTATATAATCATGGGATTTGCCCAAAGTAAAAGACTGAATTGAATATGTAACTGTGCAAATGACTTATAATAAGTCTCTGTTATATTGACTTTTGTTTCAGGTTTGTCCAAGTCTCTCGGTCTTATTGAAGGGTTTGGTGGCCGAGGACAAGGCGGGTTACCTGCTACACTTTCCACTGAAGAAGAGCGAGAAGCAGCTGGAGCGTATGAGAAGTATGGTTACAATACATACCTTAGTAATAAGATCTCACTGGATCGATCCATCCCTGACTACCGACCAAATAGGTAAGTGAGAAAGCAGGTGTGAATATAAACAATAACATTAAGGATGTAAGAAAATACAGAATGAGAAAGTTAATTCAGCCAGTCAGGTTCCTTCCAACCATTAATTGCCACAACACCAACTCTGTTCTACATAATCCACATTTATCCACCTTCATCTGTTATATTTTTCTTCCTCCTTGGCTTGGTATAATTATTAAAATATACTTTCCTCACTGATGTGTGTCAATTGAAAGTAGAATATGATCTCTATTGTGATGATCTTAAAGCATAAATTGTGTTATATTAGATGCAAGTTGCAGCCCTGAAAATATACAGTGATAGCAAAAATAGTTTATAGCCAAGTTTCTCAACATGCATTGACCTGAGTTTGCTACTGCAAACATTTGAGGATTAACCACATATGAACAGTAGGTTCCAGTTACATTACTCATGTTTTCTTTATTTACTGTCTCTGTGAGTAAAACCAGATTAAATTCCATTCATTGTGAGTGGATCAACTAAAATGCTCTTCCAATCAATTCAAATAGATTGGATGAGCACATTTCGCCCACAAAACACAGTCACTACACTTTACAGTATATTCTGGGAAGCACTTTGAGACGTGATAAGGAGCTGTATCAAATGCAGAGATTATTATTATTATTTGCCGTTAACACAAAATGGAACAACTTAAACATTGTCCTCTGTGGCTAAAGTTCCTATCCTCACACTGTGCACTGACTGCAGAACTTCTCTACTTATTAAATATACTTTAATCTTTGGCAATGACTATCACTTAGCAGGGAAATTATATATATTGCCAGGAACAGATTTATCAATTGTCTTTTGACACTTAATTTTTTGTTTAGTTCATCATATCACAAAGGAGTGAATTCCAATTCTTTGCAACATAAAGGTGCATTTGACCGAGAATTGTTGTGTGGAACTCAAATGAAAGATTAGACACTGATTGCAATGGTTTAAAAATATGTTGGAAGTGGGCGAGATGCCATCACACAACGATGTATCATGACAACTTGATGAAACTGGACTTTACATTTCAATGAAGCGCGAGATAATTGCATCTGTAAAAAAAGTACAGCACATTAATTTGCAGAATAGGGCATAGTTACTGAGAACAAAACACTGCCTGTTTTATCCATGGAGAGAGATGCACGGCAAACTAATTGAAACTGAAGAGTGTTGATAGTGAAGAGAGATGTACATATGTTGAGATGATGGTGCTTAGAGCAAAAACAAAACCTGACTATTTAATTAATTGAAACAAGATTGTTTAGTTAAACATGATGAAAGAGAAGGAGAGCCTGAAAATAATAGAATGTCATTTTTAAAAAGCCACTTAGATGGAAAACCTGGTGGAGTGGAAATAAAACTTTCAGCAGGCAGCTGGATTCCTCTAGGTTTCACTGGTGATCTTCAAAAGAGTGTAATGGATAATGAAAAACAAGCATAAATTAATCCAAAGAAGAGTTTTATGGAAAAATATACTGAAACTATAAATCTCTAAGAGCTGAAAGATTTGATCCTTATCTCATTATACACATCTTCAGCAATAGATGAGTACATATATACCATATACTTTTAATTAAAAATAAAATGTTTGGATGCTTGACACTAACATGTGAAAGCTTTTTCTCTGTTAATCTTTAGACTTGTGCCTGGTTTGCCAAGAAAGATTTGCTTGGCTCAGAATTTCAAGAAAATGACCTTATTACATTAAATACATCATTCCAATGATTATGCAAAGGAAATGTTATTTTAATAATTATTTTGGACAAAGTGCAGCCATTCTGGGATAAAGTGCTGAAGAGACGAATCAGAGTGCAACCAATTTTGGAACACATTGACTGCCCATTGACCCTTCTCCTTATGGTCCTTCTGGGACTAGCTAATTAGTTGCAGTTTATTGTCTGACATCTGCTGTATAGCTCCTGGCATTTGCTTAGCCAAAGAGGGTAAGATATAACTAACTATTCCTCTGTGATCATATAGCCATTAACCACAACCTCCAACTTTCCAACTACAGCATCACTCAAAGAACACCAAGCATTTCCCTACAGAAACATTTACTGAAAATCCAAGCAACTGCAACAAGCATCCTCAGAAGCAGTGCCATTTTGACTTGTTAACTGAGACATGAAAGTACAGTGAGTAAATGTATCTAGTTTTTACCTCCTAATTTAGCAGTAGAAGGAGCTGTTCCACTTTGCTTTTAGCAAGGTATTTGGTCAAATGAACTTTCTCCCAGTTGGCTAACTTGGCCACTATTTCTGGATGAAAAGAAAATGTGTTGGAAGCTGGAACCATATATATATAGGAGATCTTAAAATGAGGCAAAATGTAGAAATTATTTTGTCCACTATGTCATTAAAAGTATTAACCCTTGCATTTGATATAGTATCCTTATCACATCAATGAGACGTCTCAAAGCACTTCACAGGATGTATTGTAAAGCGCAGTGATTGTGTTTTGTGGGTGAAAAACAGCAGTTGGTTTGTGCACAGCAATTTCCCACAAACAAGTTTTTTTAAATAAGTTTTTTGCATCAGTCTCTACCAAGGAGGAGACGGGTAACCTATCTGATCTAGAAAAAGAACTCAAGGATGTCGCAGAGAAATTCATATCACTTCCAGCACGGTTGCCAAACAGCCGTGTAAACTTAAGGTAAATAAACCTCAGGGGCCGGATAATTCGCATCTGAGGATCCATAAGGAACTAAGGGAGGAAGTCACAGAAACGCTGGCACAAATCTTTCAAAAATCACTGAATACTGGAGAGGTACCGGGGGACTGGAGAAAGGCAGATCTTGCTCCTATTTTTAAGAAAGGTAACAAAAGTGACCCAGGAAACTACAGACCAGTAAGTTTGATGTTGATTGTTGGTAAAATTATTGGAGACTCTTATTAGTGATAAAATCATGGAGCAGCTGGACAGAAATAAAATCATCAATGATAGGCAATATGAGTTTATGAAGGGAAGGTCTTGCCAACCTAAATTACTGGTTTTCTTTGACAGTGTGACAAGGGAACTTGATAAGGGTAAGGCTGTGGATGTTGTATATCTGGATTCCAGTAAAGCCTTTGATACAGTTCCTCTTGAGAGGCTGGTCCTGAAAATAAAGTAAGTGGGAAGCAGTGGAGGTATATTTACAATGGATACACAATTGATTGACCATAAGAACCCAGAGGATGGTGGTACAGGGAATGTCATCAGACTGGGAAAATCTTACCAGTGGAGGTCCACAAGGGTCTGTTTTGGGACCTCTTTTGTTTAATATTTTTATGAATGATCTGGAACTAGGAGATGCAAGCACAGTGGCTAAGTTTGCAGATGACACCAAGCTGATGAAGGTGGTAGATTGCGAAGCTGAACAAGATGGGTTACAGGAGGATTTGAACATACTTGGGAATTGGGCAGATTGGTGGCAGATGAAATTAAATGTGGAGAAATGTAGCAATGTAATGAGAAATGTAAAGTACTTCACATGGGTCAAAAAATCCTGGAAGTGACTATTATTTGAACGGAAGCAAAATAACATGTATCAAAAATGTAAAGGACCTGAATGACAATAGATTGAAGCTCTCTCAACAATTCCGCGTTTCGCCCACAAATATACAGTCAATTCACTTTACAGTCTATTCTGTGAAGTGCTTTGCGATATCTCGAAGATATGATAAGACGCAATATCAAATGCAAGGATTATTATTCCAAGAGAGATCTGGAAAGCTGGTTAAATCCATTACTTGTTCTTGTGCATCATACAAAGAGGTGCTGCGTATGAGTTGTTGTGTTGTTAATATTGTAGCAAGACTAAGGCTGAATTTATATTTTCTGTTCCTCAGGTGCAAAGAGTTGAACTACCCAAAAGAACTGCCGCAGATTTCCCTCATTTTCATCTTTGTGAATGAAGCCCTGTCAGTCATCCTCCGCTCTGTGCACAGTGCAGTGAATCACACTCCAGCCCATCTACTCAAGGAGATCATTCTTGTTGATGATAACAGTGATGATGGTACAGTAAAGTTTCAAGCCAATACACTTGAAGGAGGCCATTCGGCCCATCGTGTCTGTGCCGGCTCTTTGAAAAGAGCTAACCAAATCAACCCCACTCCCCTGCACTCTCCCTATAGCCCTGATCAACCCCACTCCCCCGCTCCCTGCCCATAGCCCTGATCAACCCCACTCCCCCGCTCTCTCCCCATAGCCCTGATCAACCCCACTCCCCCGCTCTCTCCCCATAGCCCTGATCAACCCCACTCCCCCCTCTCTCTCCCCATAGCCCTGATCAACCCCACACCCCCGCGCTCTCCCCATAGCTGTGATCAACCCCACTCCCCCCCTCTCTCCCCATAGCCCTAATCAACCCCACTATCCCACTCTCTCCCCATAGACCTGCAAACTTGTCCCCAAATAATTATCTACTTCTCTCTAAAAGTTGTTGTCAAATCGGTTCCCACCGGCCTTTCAGGCAATGCATTCCAGATCCCAACAACTCGCAGTGTGAAAACATTTCTCCTCCCCCCCCCTCTGTTTCTTTTAACAACTATTTTAAATCGGTGTCCTCGGGTTACCAACCCACCCGCCAGTGGGAATAGTTTCTCCTGTTCACCCTATCCAATCCCTTGTAATTTTGAAAAATTCTATTAAGTCTCCTCTTAACCTTCTCTGCTCCAAGGAGAATAATCCGAGCTTCTCTACCTCTCCTGATCACTGAAGTCCCTCATTCCTGGTACCATTCTGGTCAATCTCCTTCACACCCTCTCCAATGCCTTGACATCCGTCCTAAAGTGTGGGGCTCAGAACTGAACACAGTCTCTCGCTGAGGCCTAACCAGTGTTTTATATAAAGGTTCATCATAACTTCCTGACTTTTGTATTCTATGCCCCTATTTATAAAGCCTCGTATCCCGGACGCTTTTTTAAGAGCTTTAAGATTGACTTGAAGATGAACCCCCAGGTCTCTCTGTTCCTTCACCTCCTTCAAGATTGTACCATCAGCTTATATTGCCTCTCATTCTTCCTCCCAAAATCATCACTTCACATTTCTCCACATTAAACTCCATCTGCCACGTGTCTGCCCATTTGACCAGTCTGTCTATGTCCCCTTGCTGTCTGCTCCTATCCTCCTCACTGATTACTCCTTTTTCTAGCGTAGAATCATCGGCAAACTTGGAAATTGTGCTCCCTATACCCAAGTCCAGGTCATTTATACAGATCACAAACAGCAATGGCCCCAATACCGACCCCTGGAGGACACCACTGCACACTTCCCTCCAGTCAGAACAACAACCGTTCACCACCACTCTCTGCTTTCTGTCTCACAGACAGTTCTGTATCCGCTGTCCCTGTCCCTTTAATACCGGGGTCTTCTATTTTGCTTACAAGTCTCTTATGTGGCACTTTGTCAAACCCCTTTTGAAAATCCATATAAACGACATCAACTGCACTACCTCCATCCACCCTCTCCGTTACTTCATCAAAAAACTCTTATCAGGTTTGTTAGACATGATTTGCCTTTAACAAGTCCGTGTTGACTGTCCTTTAATAACCCATATTTTTCTAAGTGAAAATTTTTGTCCCGGATTATAGTCTCTAGAAGTTTCCCCACTACTGACGTTAGGCTGACTGGCCTGTAGCTCCCGGGTTTATCCTTCTGCCCCTTTTTGTAAAGGGGAATAACATTTGCAGCCCTCCAGTCCTCTGGCACCACCCGGTGTCCAAGGAGGATTGAACGATTGTGGCCGGAACCTCCGTTATTTCCACCCTTACTTCCCTCAGTAACCTAGGATCCATCCTGTCCAGACCGGGTGACTTATCTACCTTGAGCACCATCAACCTTTTTAGTACCTCCTCTCAGTTTATTCTTATCCAATTTCTCTCCCCTCTCCTCCAATACTGTGGCATTGACTTCATTCTCTTTTGTGAAGACAGATGCAAAGTACTCATTCCTACGCCAGCCATAACCTCTGCCTCCACAAGAAGATTTCCCCTTTGGTCCCTAATTGGACCCACTCTACCTTTGACTAACCTTTTATTCTTTATATGCTTACAAAATACCTTAGGGTTCCCTTTTATGTTACCCGCTAATCTTTTCTCTCTACAATCTCTTTGCCTCTTATTTCCTTATTCACTTCTCTTCTGTGTTTTCTATCTTCTATTTGATTATCTTCTGTATTTTAAACCTGACATTTATCATAAGCCTCCTTTTTCTGTTTTATTTTAAACCCAATTTCCTCATTCATCCAGGGAGGTTTGGATCCCCTTTGTGGGAATGTATTTGTTCTGTTCCCAAACTATTTCCTCCTTGAAGGCTTCCCATTGCTCGTGAGCTGTTTTACCTGCCAATCTTTCTTTCCAGTCCACCTTGGCTAAGTCCCTTTTTAACTCACTAAAATTAACCTCTTCCAGTTGAGTATCTTGACCTTTGATTGTTCCTGGTCCCTTTCCATAAATACTCTAAACCTAATGATGTTGTGATCACTGTTGTCCAGATGTTCTCCCACTGAAACCTGCTCCACTTGCCCCACTTCATTCCCCAGCACTAGATACAGCACTGCTTCCTTCCTTGTTACGCTGGAAACATACTGATCCAGAAAGTTATCCTACACACATTTCAGGATTCCTTCCCCCTCCTTGCCGTTTACACTGTTATTTTGCCAGTCTATGTGAGGATAATTGAAGTCCCCCATTATCAATACTCTATTGGTTTTGCATCTTTCTGAAATCTGCTTCCAGAGTTGCTCGTCTATCTCCTTCCCACTATTTAGTGGGCTGCAGTATACACCTAACAGAGCAACAGCTCCTTTTATGCTCCTTAACTCTAACCAAATAGATTCTGTTTTTGGACCCTCTAGCACATCGTCCCTTTCCAGAGCCGTAACCGTGTCTTCAATCAATATTGCCACCCCCCACCCCCACTCCTTTTTTTCCTTCCCTGTCCCTCCTGAATATATTGTAGACAGGAATATTCAGTTCCCATTTCTGCCCTTCTTCGAGCCAAGTCTCCATTATTGCCACTGCATCATAACCCCATGTGACAACTTGAGCCTGCAGCTCACCTGCTCTGCATTTCTCCACCCATCTAATCCCTCTTTTTTCTGGACTACTCCTTATTTCATTGCTTTTTGTCTCTTCCAATCCTCTATCTAACGTTTTTTCTCTTCTCTGATGTTACATCCTGATTCCCTACCCCCAGAACTGGCTCCAATGTTCCAGGACACTGAAGCCCTCCTTTCTGCACTATTTCTCCAGCCAATCATTCATGTGTTTATTCCTGCTGTTTTGATACTCACTTGCATGAGGCACTGGGAGAAATCCAGAGATCACCACCTTTGGAGATGCTGCTCTTTAGCTTTTTCCCTAACTTCTGATACTCTCCCTGTAGGATATCAGCCCTTTTTGCCCCCTACATTATGGATCCCAACATGGACCACGACTTCTGGATGTTCCCCTTCCCCCTGTAGAACGTTTTGCATCCGTGATGTCTTCAACCCTGGCGCCAGGGAAGCAACATACCATGCGAGAGTCACATATTTGGTTGCAGAAACGCCTGTCTACTCCTTTCACCGTTGTGTCCCCAATGACAACTGGATTTGACTCTTCCCCGTGTACCCCTGTGCATCCATTTGCTTTTGACTCCCCTCCCCAGAGGTGTCATCACACTCACCGCTCGGTATTGAGTACAGAGAATCGGTTTGTGAGTGCCACACTCTCAGGGGATTTCTGCAGTGCCCGTCGGCACTTCCTACACATGTGTTTGTTATATCTGTGTGTGTCTTCATACTTCAGGTAGTATGGATGCTTTTATCAGAATTATGCAGCACAGAAGGAGGCCATTTGGCCCATTGTGTCTGTGCCGGCTCTTTGAAAAGAGCTTCCAAATCAATCCCACTCCCCTCTTCTCTCCTCATAGCCCTGATCTCCCCCACTCTCTCCCCATAGCCCTGATCAACCCCGCTCTCTCCCCATAGCCCTGATCAACCCCACTCCCCCGCACTCTCCCCATAGCCCTGATCAACCCCACTCCCCCGCTCTCTCCCCATAGCCCTGATCAACCCCACTCCCCCGCTCTCTCCCCATAGCCCTGCAAACTTGTCCTCCCCAAATAATTATCTACTTCTCTCTTAAAAGTTGTTCTTCTGTTTATTTAGTAAGCATTTTGAAGTTGTTTGCCACAAAAGAGGTGATAATAGTCCAGTTTGATGTAATGGGAATTCTGAAATGGAAATGGACTTATTTTAAGGTATTGAAAACAATAGAAACTTTCTGTAGGATCTACTTATTTCATTAATATAAGTCAGACTTTTTTTTAAAAAAGCCAGTTTGCAACTCTGCTCAGTGTTAAGATGGATGGGCTTTGGTTTTAAGGTTCATTCAGTAGGTGCTAGTTCTGATTATTGCAGCATATTGTACTTCAGCACATAGTTGCAACTGCAAGTGACCTAGTTTGCCATGGAGGCAGGCAACATCATCCTGATAGAAAAGACAATAGACAGCATGGGATTTGGTGCAGTTAGAACACTCCCAGGGACATTGTGTTTTCTTTACCAATGATCTCTCCTCATCTCTCAACAACAACAACAACAAGATTCCATTTATAGAGCGCCTTTCACGTCAGGAGGACGTCCCAAGGCGCTGCACAGTTGGGTCATGACCCGAGCAGGGGGGAAATGGTCAGGGTGAGGGGAGGGAAGGGAGGGAGAGAGGAGGGGGGAAATGGTCAGGGTGAGGGGAGGGAAGGGAGGGAGCGAGGAGGAGGAAGAGAGTCGAGAGGGGAGCTGAAGGCACGGTCAAAGAGAAAGGTTTTGAGACCGGCCTTGAAGGAGGAAAGGGAGGAAGCAAGGCGAAGGCACTGGGGGATGGAGTTCCAGAGCCTGGGGGCTGAGAGGCTGAAGGCCCGACCACCGATGGTAGGGCGGTTGGGGCGGGGGACGTGGAGCAGACCGGAGCCAGAGGAACGGAGGGTACGGACAGGTAATAATAATAATAATAATAATAATCCTTGCATTTGATATAGCGCTTTTCACGTCGGGAGGACGTCCCAAAGCGCTTCACAGAACACACTGTAAAGTGAATTGACTGTATATTTGTGGGCGAACGCGGCAGCCAATTGCGCACAGCAATGTCCCACAAACAGTCGTAGATTGAAAATGACCCAATTTAATAAATTTAATAAATGTAGGTAGGGGGATAGTAGGTTGGAGAGGTAGGAGGGAGCAAGGCCGTGAATGGCCTTGTAGGTGAGGATGAGGATCTTGAAATCAATCCTCTGGGGGATGGGGAGCCAGTGGAGGCGAGCGAGGGTGGGAGTGATGTGGTCCCGAAGCCTGGTGCGGGACAGTACACGAGCTGCAGAGTTCTGAATGACCTGCAGCTTGTGGAGGGAGGTGGCGGGAAGGCCGGCGAGGAGAGAGTTCCCATAGTCCAGCCTTGAGGTGACAAAGGCGTGAACCAGGGTTTCAGCGGCGTGAGGGGTGAGGTAGTGCCGTAATCTGGCGATATTCCGGAGGTGATGGAAGGCGGTGCCAGTTGTGGTGCGGATGTGAGGGAGAAAGGACAGCTCAGGGTCGAACAAAACGCCGAGGTTCCTGACTGGCTTTGAGAGGTGGAGAGTACAGCCTTGGATGCTGATGGTGTCAGCGCCTGAGGTGCGGAGGCGCTGACGTGAGCCAATCAGGAGGACCTCGGTTTTTCGCACGTTGAGCTGAAGAAAGTTGTCTCTCGTCCAGGACTCGATGTCGGACAGACAGCTGTCAGGACATCGGTGGTCGTGGAGTTGAGAGTAGAGGAGGAAAGGTAGAGTTGGGTGTCATCCGCATACATGTGGAAGTTAACCCCATGTTTGCGGATGATGTCACCAAGGGGGAGCATATAGAGGGTGAAGAGGAGGGGACCGAGGACAGAGCCCTGAGGGACACCACATGAGACAGTACGGGGGGTGGAGGAGAAGCCATTCGTTGAGACGAAGTGAAGACGGTGGGAAAGGTAAGAGCTAAACCATTCAAGGACAGTGCCTTGAAGGTTGAGGTGGGAGGACAAGCGGTGGAGTAGGATAGCGTGGTCGACCGTATCGAATGCTGCCGATAGGTCGAGGAGGACGAGGAGACAGAGGGAGCCCTGGTCACAGATGGTCAGGATATCATTGGTGACCTTGACCAGGGCAGTTTCTGTGCTATGAGCAGCACGGAAACCTGACTGAAGGGGTTCAAAAAGAGAATGGGTGGAAAGGAAAGAGCGCAGTTGGGAGGCGACAACTCTTTCCAAGACCTTGGAGAGAAAGGGGAGGTTGGAGATGGGCCGGTAGCTTGATAGCTGCGACGCATCAAGGGAGGGTTTTTTCAGGGTGGGCGTGATGATGGCAGTTTTTAATGGAAATACTCATTGAAATACAGACCCAACAGACCTTCTGGTGCCTTGGTTAAGTGGACATTATTACGAATCATTCTTAGGTATGGAGTTGAGTATTGAGTATCTGCTCATTGCAGAGGTGCATCTCAGCTGAGGCTGATCCCGTCCCCATCTGATATCCACTTTTCAGCAGGGATTTTGCTTCCGTTCTTAGCCCCTGCTGAGGGAAAACAGTACTGTCTGGAGACCAGACCTGCAAACATCTAGGCCATTAAAAGAATATTCCTTTTTGTAAATCTGATTTCTCAGGAAGAGTAGTAGTCATTTCAGGACTCCAAAGGCCCACAATTCCAGAAGCCAAATATTGAAAGAGTTCATGTCAGTCTACTTTATTTCGAGTTAGGAAGGTTTCTCCATCACAAGTTACTTTATTCTGCCTCAAGTGTCTGTATTCTTCAAATGTAAACACAGCGTCACTGACAAAAGGTATTATTATCATTGACACATGGCGTGTTGCAGCTCACCCATTGCTTCCACTGACCATTAATTCCTAGCTAATGTAATTCTCTCATCCTGCAGAAGACCTCAAAGCGCCTCTGGAGGAATATGTTCACAAACGGTACCCTGGTTTGGTGAAAGTTGTTCGCAATGAGAAGCGTGAGGGACTGATCCGAGCCCGAGTCCAGGGATGGAAAGCTGCCATTGCGCCAATCACAGGCTTCTTTGATGCCCACGTGGAATTCAGTAGTGGATGGTGAGTTCAGTTATACAGGAGAACTTTTGTTTTAGTTCACATCTGATAGAATCTATTCCCGCCAAATCAACACTCTCGACATATTTTCTTTTGAACGGAGAGGTGAATGAAGATTACATAGATTCAATTGCATAGAAGTTATGTAAAACCAATGTTATAAAAATGCTGTAACCTTCTGTTGAGGTGTTTGCCATTTTTCAACTAACCTTTTCTTCATAGTGCTTCTGGGAGCATTAATTCACAGCGTAACCAGTCATTTCCTGGTAATACTAAGCAAGTTACACTTTGGGTCAGAAATGACAAGATAGTGCAGGGAGAAATTACTTAATTTTGTCTCTTGTAGCCTTGTTTTCATGTATTCAGCCAGATTGATGGTCTGTGGCTTCCCAAAGTGTAAATGAAATAATCCACTCCATTGGCTAAAGGAACTTTTAATGTCATTTTGAAAAAGGTACGGATTTGATTAAAAAAAATATGAGTATGCACCATGTGCCATTCACAATTTCCAGTTCAAACTATTTTAGGATGGAGCTATAAGCCAAACTTTTGCTGGTTTTAATGCGCTAAATGGCAACACCAATGATAGTATTTAGTTCTAATCTAGTGGCACTGCCCTGGTCAGTTTTCAGAATAATTGCCAACCCCGCCTTTTCCTTTTCTCTCACTCATTCGGAGAAAACAACTCTAATTCAGCACTTGCTGAGGAAAAGGTAATATTTTTTCAAAATATATTGAGAACCAAATGCCTGGAACAAATCTGGCATAAAATTCTTTTGATTTACTACCAAACTCTTTATGACCCTTGTTTATATTCCAAGGCACATATTTATATAGGAGAGATTAGCTCTTGAAAATTAGTTTTATTTTCTTCTCAGATTTTTCAAAATTTGTTGTCCTCGCAGGATTAATTAATTATATAAAGGCTCATATATAAATGTTTTGCCACATCAAATGTTGGGCAGTTTTTCTTTGAACTGTCAGTTTTCTTGGACGAGAAGGTAGCACATGTCCTTTATGTAATGAGGACTCTCCTTTCCATAACAGGAATTAAGTAATTTCCCTTCATCAACCTGTTACACAGATGGTCATCTACCAAAGTCCTGCTTATCGGAAGGGAATTGACTGGAAGCAGATTATAATGCAATTTCCAAAACAGCATAAAATGATGATAAGGTTCATACACGAATTATGAAATCATCAAACCAAAATAAAACTCCCCTAACCAGTCTTAGCTAACCTTCTAGATTTAAGGCATAAATCTAGAATCTGGACCTCATTTATATTAAGTTTTCTTGTAATCTTAGTATATTAGCTATGGACTTCCTAATGCTCAATATTACAAGAATGGCCAGTAAATGCAGGACATGTGCAAGGGTTGCTTAGTGAAAGCCTTATTTTATAAGTAAAGCATTTCTAACACTAAAAATCTCTGTTCTTTTATTGCTTATCGCGAGAGACGTTCTGATTTGCCCCAGAAGTTGGATGAATACGAATCCTTTAGACATTGATCACAGCAGTGTATCAGTGAGGACAGTTTCTGTGAACAAATTAATGAAGTACCATTTGTAAAGATAGTTACTGTTTTGCAATTTAAATGTACATGCAACAGCAGTATTTCAGAGGAGTCTTATTGTCCACTATCTGCATTCAATTGAAAGATGGCTGATGCGAAACAAGGCAAATCCTTCATAATTTAAAATTAAAAATCTGAACTACAAATGTATTCTAAAGGTTACTGAGCATGAACACATAATAGCTTCCATTTTACAAACCTATTTTCTATCCCAAATAAACTTCATTTTCAGGAATTAATTGAATATTTTAGCTCCAGTGTTCCATATAAAACCATCAAAGGATTTATGCATGCACATGCACATGTTCATGGAGTCCTGTAGCTCAGTGGTTAGAGCACTCGCTTTGCAAGCGAGAGACCTGAGTTTAATTCCAGGCAGAGGGCGAAACCTTGGGCAAGTTTCCTTACTCCACACAGAGCCTAATAATAATCCCTCCAAAACCAAAAACAATAATAAATTGGTCATTTTCAATCTACGACTGTTTGTGGAACATTGCTGTGCGCAATTGGCTGCCGCGTTCGCCCACAAATATACAGTCAATTCACTTTACAGTGTATGTTCTGTGAAGCGCTTTGGGACGTCCTCCCGACGTGAAAAGCGCTATATCAAATGCAAGGATTATTATTATTATAATATATTCATATAATCATAGTCCAGAACATTTTTTTATTTTCAAAAGTACTTAGAAGACGGATCAGAAGATGAGTTATAACTGCATTTACCTCAAATGAGGCAGGTAGATTGGAACCAAAATACAGTCAATTCACTTTTCAGTATATTCTGTGAAGCACTTTGAGACGTCTCGAAGACGTGATAAGACGCTGTATCAAATGCAAGGATTATTATATATTGAGAATAATTTGCGTTTTTACATGCTTTATCATATCAAAATGTCTCAAAGTAATTTGCAGATAATTCGTGTCAGTTGTAGTGATAAACTTGGCAGCAATGAATCTCTGGCAGATGCTGACCGTTGCCTCTTCCTCACGATTACATTTGATCAAAAGACAAACTGGACAAGCAGTGGGAAAGCTCGCCAGACAGTGATATCAACAGCAAGCTATGCAGTTTCAGCTGGTTCCACTCCAGCAGTAACCCCAACACACACTCGGGGGCCCCCCAAGTCTTGGCTCTCGCCAACCTACGCCCAACACTCTCTGGAATTAAGTAAGCAGGATGTGTCCCTCCGGTGAGAGGGATTGGGAGTGCCTGCACCATTCCAGACATAGGGAATTTTCTACATGTCAAAAAGTGGCTGAAAAGAATTTTTCCTAGTTTTCCCCCAAAAAATTCTCCTGCGATTATTAGACCCAAAGCTGTGGCACCTTTACTCCTGAGCGCAGTGTGTGCTCCCAACAGTGAGGGCACTTACCCGCCCGTTCAGGGTAGATTCTCCTCCATCAGAAGCTGCTCCAGACAGGCCGCTGGACACCAGCCAGGGTGGGGGGGGAGGGTAGAGAGAGAGAGAGACAGATGGGCTGACGTTGAGTTGCTGCATAAGCAGAGCCCGGCGTTTACTTGTGGAGAAGAAGCGGGAATGGATTAACCATGACTCAGTCAAACTGCTTTTTTAATGGCATTTCTTGTTTTACACGACAACCACCCCCCCCCGCCCACACCTCCCCATCGTCTCCCGTCTCCGCATGTGAGGAGACCGTTACTCGCGCAAGGCTGCAGCTCACCTCCCGCCCCAGGGCCAGGCCTGCGCACCAGCTACCGCCCAGCAGCCGAGAACGGTGGGGAAATAGCTCCGAGGGGACAACCGGCCGGAGAGTGAAGGAGAGAGCGCAGGAGGAGAGAGTGAATGTGACAGGATGAGAGGAAAAAGGTGAAGTTGGAATGAGTGAGGGTATTCATAGGATTATACAGCATCTCCCATTCAGCCCATCGTGTCTGTGCGGCTCTTTGAAAAGAGCTTCACCAATTCAACCCCACTCCCCCTGCTCTCTCTCCCCATAGCTCTGATCAACCCCACTCCCTCGCGCTCTCCCCATAGCCCTAATCAACCCCGCTCCCCCGCTCTCTCCCCATAGTCCTGATCAACCCCTCTCCCCCGCTCTCTCCCCATAACCCTGCAAACTTGTCCCCACATTTCTCTCTTAAAAGTTGTTATTGAATTGGCTTCCATCAGCCTTTCAGGCCATGCATTCCAGATCCCAAAACTGGATAATGAGGAGAGAAAGAGTGGGTTGGATTTCCTGTACCTGTCCTCCGTCCCTCCCCCCCCCCCCCCACCCCCATGATTTATATTTTCCACTGCAATTTTGAATACACTGAAAGGATGCACAACACCAATCAATCACAATTCGTTTATCACTTACGCTGCTTAGTGTGACTCACTTGTAGTTTACTGCAGCGAACGATGCAATAACAGGGTTTTAATTATTAAGATATAGCACAGAGACTACACTTTCTAATTTGCATTGAATTTTGGTCACCATACCACCAAGGGGGCCGATGCTATGGTAACAACTTTCATGTATACAGGACATTTCATATGAAGGAAACCTCTAGAAGAGCTTCACAGATGAGATTAATTAGAAATGAAAGTGGATGTTGCTATGGCGGCAAACCCAGCAGCTAATGTAGGGTAGCAATGCTTACAAAGATAACCCAATGGCCTACATGACTGGTAAGGGTTCTAATCGAGAACAGGGCAATAAAAATATTAACAGAAGATATAATCAATTCAATAAATTAGAATCTGATACATTATTAGAAATTGTGGGATAAAATTATTCAAAATAAAGGAACTGCTGGATAAAAAAGAAAAGCAAAAGAACCATTCCTTGGGGCTGTTGATTTGTGCAGACAGGACAAGATGGCAGAATGCACATAGCACACTCAAATTTGAAAGGCTAAATTGATGCCTTTGGCTATTAAGACACTGTTGTTTGGATCCTGTAGCCTATGCTGGAGGTAGCTCCTCCACTAGAGTTACAGTATGCATTCTAATTACAATTCACTGCTCTTTCCCTCACCCTCTATTGGTTTTTTTCGAGTACTTTAACAATTTTCTTTTAACCATCAAAGGTATAAGGATAATATGATTGTGGCTAGGAAATGGTTGCCACAGATTGCATTGCATTAATTTGTAGCTGTGTTTATTACCTATTGTGTTTGTAAATTTTCTGTTAGACATTCAGTGTTCTGTAATGCTAATGTAATTTGTGTCAACGATGATAAATTACATTCATTTTCTCTTCCCTGCTAGTGAAATTCCTATTGATAATCCAACTTTAATGGTTCTAAATTGACTTTTTTGATAAGCAGTGTTTAATATTTTCACCTGCTGAAAGGAAAGGTGAAGGAGCCCATTCATTGTGAGCGCACAATGAGGTTTACTGGCAAAAAACAAAATTAGCAAGTCAAATGAATTTCACTCTTGTATTCCTGTTGCTTTACTGCAAAGAATTTATAGCTCTTGTTTGGCTTCCATCACAACTTGAATATAAAGAGCCATGCTTGTCTAGTTGCAAAGTATAATGCAGTGTGGAATCTCCATTTGGATAAATGTTTGAAGAGTAGGAACATTAAATGGTTTGAGAGAAAGAAGTGGGATTTGGCATTTCAGTGAACTCCAGTTTAAGTTTGTTACAGTGAATTTTCTCTTCACATGGAGCTCATCGAGCAGTCCTCACCTACACCTGTATTATTGCAGCCACCGACACTATGAATCTTTCCAGATAAAGAAGGAAAGGGGAAGAGTAGAAGAGGAGAAAAAAAGTAAGACTTAAAAACAAGTCTTGTTGCAGCTTCATCACACAGCATGATGTGTGTATTTATGTGCATGTCAGGCCTTGTCCATTGTAGTTTCTAGGTGCACAATTCTATCCGTTGTACTCATTACAAACAAGCTGGTTCTCCCCAGAACACTGCTGTGATGTGGTGTTAAGTGCTGTGATCCTGCACTTCATAGGAGGGAATCAAGCAAATGTTATAATTAGTCTCCCCATGTCACAGCACCTCATTGCATATTTCTGTCGATTCAGACTTGGATATCAGCTAATTAGCACAAGGTGACTGAGGAGTGTAGCGTTTATACGATGCCTTTAGAGAGAGAGGATATAAGTCTGAGAAAACGGAATTGTAAATCGCAATGAACTGATGTAGTGGCAATCTGGAGCAAGGCACTTTCTGACTGCTAAGGAAATGTCACCATTTGCCAATTTTTTTGTTTAACTGAATAAACCTCTAATTGTTATTAAGCTTTCACAAAGAATTCTTATGCATTTTGCACATGTTTTTTGATTTCCTGCCAACAACAACAACAAGATTACATTTGTGCAGCGCCTTTCATGTCGGGAGGACGTCCCAAGGAGCTGGACAGTGTACAGCATTTTAGAACACCACTGTAACTTAGTGTGATTGTATTAGTAATCCTAAAGTCACAGGTCCTGACAGTGTATGTGTGTTTTAGCTGTCATGCTGGAAGTCCATGGTAGCAAGATCTTGCTCTCCTGAGTATAGTGTAAAGAGGAAATAAGTGTGGGGAATTATAAGTGTAGCACATTTCTTACACACCAGTATAAATGAAATTATGCAGTATCCATTTGAACTATTCATTGTAATCTTTAAAATAAATGAAACCACTTTCTGCAGTTTATGAATAAAATTCCCGATTATGTGTTAAAACTCCATACAGTGTTAAAGAGAGACGGCCATGGACTAGGTGCCAAGGTTGTGCCAGCTCTTCAAAGGTCTGAATCATCTGCTATGTGGCTTATTCGGACCAGTGCAATCTGCTTGAGAATGTGTGAGCAATGCTTTATTCGAGTGCAACATTGGATTATGATCATTACAATATCAAGTATAGTAACTTGATTGGTTTACTTCAAAATGAGACTGCTGGGAGTAATCTGGAGATCTCAGCAATGCCATGAGCAGCCGAATGACTTTGAATTTGGTGGTGAATTTGGATAAGAAAGAAATATAAGCCAGGATAAACAGGAGAAAAGCTCCATGTTTTACCTAATACAGGGTCTTACACTTTTAAATCAAAGATGACCTTGCTTGACTATTTCCAACTTCTCATTTTAGGGTTGAACCTATTATAGCCAGAATTAAAAATGACCGGAAGCGAATTATCCTCCCATCCATCGATAACATCAAGTACAATACATTTGAGGTGCAGCGCTATGAGAACTGTGCCCATGGTTACAGCTGGGAGTTGTGGTGCATGTACATCAGCCCGCCCAAGGAGTGGTGGGACAGAGGAGATCCCACAGCTCCAATCAGGTCAGTGGGCTTTGTGTTTGTAGCTGCGGTTAAATCGCTTAAACCAGCGATTCAGGTACTAGATGAAGAAACATTAAGGAGCGTGGCAAACGTGTAAATATTGTGCAGTTTCTCTTCTAAATTTTTAATTATTTTCAAGAAAACAAATCCTTTTTTGCTTATTTTTAGTAGCTGCTTCTGATAAATGTAATGCTATCTTTCCTGCTTACGTTCAATGATAAGATGATTTCTGTAATGAAAGTCCAAAGACATAACTGTTGCATTTTCCATTTCAGTTGCTGCTGCCATTTTGCATTCTTCCCGTATAAATGCATGGCATGGAGCAAACGCTTCTGGCATGTCGGCATGCTATGAATAAGTGAACCAGAGGTGTCCTCCAGATGGGGCACTGTAAGAATGATTTACCTCCCTGAACAATTTGTCAGAGACTATCAGTGTTATTTCAGGTCTTGATGTAAAAAGCATTTCGCATACAGAGGGGTCATAGAGCTGAAAAAGAGCGCATCTGTTTATCAGCGGAGCCCACTGCTAACAGTCCTTGACTGACAGTTCTAATTAACCCCCTGAAAATTTGAAATCTGTCAAATATGTTTAAGAAAATGGATCTTAGAAAAAATGCTTTTCCAGAATTGCCCTGATTTAATTTTGGTTCTATTTACTGATCTGTTAACCAGATGTTAATAAAAAAAATTCTGGGAGGTTTACACGCAGTGACTGAAGTAGAGCTGATCAAACGTTCTGAAGATCCATTTTGACAGAAATAGAGTTTGTTGCAAAATATCATCCATGCAGACGAGACTATTATTTTACACCAGTTAAATGGAAAGATACGTAAATGTAATGTATTTATTTAACAGTAAATAATGGTATTTGCCTCTTCTTTGCTCAAGTATGGGTTCAGGATATGTTAAGGCAATCTGAATGCACTCGCTATGGACTCAAACTGCTTCAAATGCACGTAAAACCTCAGTCAGTGCACCAGGAGAGGTCACATGAAGAGCCTGAGGAGCAGTGTGGTGTGCAGTGGATTAGTGATTGAATACTGACTGCTGTATTACCTGGGAACAGTCTGTTGGCTCATCCATAAGACTAGCCAATAGCTAGAAACACATCTACAAAAAAAATTAATCTCTTCAACCGTGAAAGGTATTAATTATGCTGTTGAGGTGTGAGAATAATGACCGTGCACAATTTTATACAAGCATTTAATCTTAAAGAGAAGTTGGGCACGAAGGATATCGAACTACGTGAATTGCAAAGCTCTTGTACATTCATTGCTGTGGAGGGTTAGGTCCATGGTATCAATAAGTCACTGCAAACAATTCCAAGGGTAATGTGAAGATTCCCCTCTCCCCTTCACGATTACATTCACAACCAAAGTGCAACTTGATTTTTGTCTCTATAATTACAATAAGCTAAAGGTTTGTATTTTTCACACTAAGAGAGTTGAATCTGAGTTCTTCAAAAGGTATTGTAATAATATGTGTGAAAAGAGCATCTCTCATTTTCTAAACTCAAAAGAACCAGAGGACTGTTAATTTGTTTTATTTATTGGGAGGCAAGCAGGCTGAATCTGGTGTGCCGGTTGTTGTGAGGGCAGCAGTGAAATAAGTACAGTAAAATCCTATCAAATATTTTATAACTGATTCGGAATCTGAGAGCCACTAATCTCACCACATTGCTAATATGATTTGTCAGTAATATGGAGATTTAATCTCCAGATTTTTACTGTTGTTTTCGCATGAAACAAACCTGATTTGAAATGAGATGTTCTTTGTTTCTCATATTAATTGTGCTGTATCGCAGAGGGTTAAAATGTGAGTTTTCACCCATAATTCCTTATGCAATGACTCTCCAATCTGGGACAGCAGAGGCTGGTTGACTTCCCCTCGGGTGTGTGCTGTGCATGTGTGTGTGTGCACGCACATCTCTTGGCTTGTTGCTAAATAGCACCAGCAGAAGCCAAGAATTTACAAGACACTTTTGTTAGAATATGTGGCTTCTTTTAATTGCATAAAAAACCTAATTTCAGAGTTCTGCATATGCACTAAACTGAGTACCTTCAGAAGATTATCCGCAATGTAATGAGAGCAAGTATAAAACAAAGTTGCCCCTCTACCTCTAGAAGCAATGTTGTTTTGTGTCCAACTGAGTGAACATAGAATTCTGTTTGGCTAATTACAATTCAGAACACAAAGGTAGCATTTTGTTTAATCAATGCTGTGTTTTTGTGGTTGCAGCAGGCAAATCACTGCAGAAAACAGTTTTCATCACAACTGTAGCTTTTCTATAGGATGACAACAAATGGGTCGATTGGCCTTTTTCATCTGAACCCCTTTTGCGATCTTGTTTACTAAGAGATCAGATGAGAAGTTGTATTAAGCTGATAACACATAGGTGGGAAAGCATTGCAACCAGCTTCGATGTCCAGTGTAACATAGCTTTACCTGACAGAGATTAGTGAAAGCCATTGCAAAACCAGGAAAAACCGTGGAAACCCTGAGTGCAGAGGGCCTATGAGTATTTATTACCTAGAGCTGGGTTAGAATGTGCAGAGGCTATAACTGGTTTAAGAATAGGTGGGGTTAGCAGTCTGATTCACATCCTGCATTCTAGCTGTGAACTATAGTTATCAGGAAATGGGTGAAACCACTGTAAGGTGGAGCAACATATTCTGATAGATAATGGGTGGCACAGGCACTATGGTCAGTTTAAACTATCTGACTTCCTTTTTTTGCTACCGCCTTATCACATTTCAGTTTGGAGACAAATAATATTACGGCTCAGATTATTCTAAGTATCATTGCCTAAGATGCTGAGCTGGTGCGTGTTGCCGAGAAGCGCAAGAATGTTCAGTTTAGTCTGGTGCCTGTAATAATTGTTGGAATACAATCAGTGAGACATTGGACCCAATTGATAAATTCTGGATTGAGTGATAACCTATTGAGTGCTCCGGGACACTACCCCAAGCGAAAGGCGCTATATAAATGCAAGTTGTTATTGTCATAGGTGGAAGTACTGATGCCTAGCAAACATGATGCATTATTTGAACCTGAAACATATCAACATTTTTTATAATTGACAAGAGCACCAACTTTTCCACTTGTTTCCCATTACTCATATGCGCTGGTACGCTGCCCTGCATGAGGGATGCTATATAAATGCAAGTTGTTGCTGTTGTTGTTGTGTCTTCTTTCCATTTCGTATGACCATTTCACTCCTTCCCTTGTGAATTGTATGTCTAAATTACAGCGGACACTCACAGCTAAAGTTAAGAGTGTGAAACTGTAGGGGAAACGATCTACAGCTGCTTGCAAACCCACTGTTGCTCTGGCAGTTGCATTGGTTGGATTTGTTCCCCTCTCCCCTGTGAGTTTAGGATATCCAGTGCGAAGTCTTGGATACAACTTGGAATGTTTCATTGTACGGAGTTGCATATTTTTCTAAAAACATTCTTCCAACCACAAAGTCCCAGGACGCAGAGTGGAAAAAGCAAAGCAATAAAACCAGAAGCAGAATCTATTTTTTGCTTTTATACGGCCCTGCCTGAAGAATACCTTAAAAGGCTATATCTTGAGAACGATGGGAGCAAAAGTCACTGCTTCTTGACTTGTTCACATTGTTGTGAGTTTGGTGAAGGATGATCATGTCTCCCTCTGCCTGTGTGATTGGCAGCAATTGAAAACATCTGACAGGATATTCATTGAATTCTAAGTATTGGTAATGTGAGAAGGATAGGTTGGTGGGCAGTATAAGCAGATTTACTTTGCAAGTTCACATGCGATGGGAGTACCCTTCTGTTGGAATAAGTATATACAGCTAAAAGAGTCTCCCTCTTGCACTGAGGTCTTCTTCAAGAAGCTTGTTAATCTCCCTTAAATTCTTATTGGTGTGTTACAGGATAAAGATTTCCTTTCTTTCTGATGGCTGTTCAGGTTTCTAAATGATGTTCCATTTGAAGAATCTCAAACCATTTCCCTGGGGACTTGCCTCTGCTGAAGAATTAAACTGCTTTCAGATTCAGTAATATTGAGGGAGATTAACAAGCTTCTTGAAGAAGACCTGAGTGCATCCGAGAGAAGCTTTTAGCTGTATCTGTCACTTATTCCAACACAAGGGTACTCCCATCCCTGCTCTCAAATTACCGCCCCATCTCCAACCCCCTGTCCTTTCCAAGGTCCTTAAACAAGTCATTGCTTCCCAATTTCACTCCTTCCTCTCCCCGACTTCATATATGAACCCCTCCAATCGGGTTTTCGTGTTGCACACAGCGCAGAAACAGTCTTGGTCAAAATGCCAAATGACATTCTGTCCATCTGTGACCAGGGTTCTCTCTGCATCCTCGTCCTCCTTGGTGCACTTGATACCATTGTGCACTCTATCCTCCTCCACCGCCTCTCCTCTCACCTCAACCTCCACCGCCTCTCCTCTCACCTCAACGTTCTGTCCTTGAATGGTTCTGACCCTAACTCTCACACAGTTTCCATTTATCTCCACAAACGGCTTCTCCTCCAGCCCCACACTGTCTCGTGCTGGATTGCTCAGGGCTCTGTCTGTGGTCCTCTCTCTTCAACATATACATGCTCCCTCTTGGTGACATCATCCGCAGACATGAGGTAAACTTCCACATGCATGCGTATGACACCCAACTCTATCTCTCAGCCTCCAACCTCAATCCCAAGACCACTGCTGTCCTGACAGAATACCAAGAAGACCGACTTTGTGCACTTGAGAAGTCTTGTCGGAATGGGCCTAGTGGACCTTAAATATGACAAAGATTGGAGGAACTATGGAGTTCCTTCAAGAAGGTGATTATAAAGGCAATGGAACAATGTGTAGCCATGCGAAGCAAAGGTACACCTGCATAGATGAACAGGGCTACAAAGAAACTCATAAAGAGTGAAAAAAAGGCATTTAAGGCCATGAAGGAAAATGAATGGCACAGAATTAACAAAAACAACAACTTGCACTTAAATAATTAAGTTGGATTTGATACCAGA